CATAGACATCAGGAAACCAGCCCTACCTCTGATTCTGACCAAAGCACATATCCCTTTTTCCTATGCCCTACTTTTCATTTGAAGGAGTGCCCAGCACATGGTCTGGAAGGAACTGGGGGTGCAAACTCCACCCTGGACCATGATGTGGTCACCTTGAAGAGGCTAGAATCACTCTGAGTTCCCACCACTCCAGTCATCTAGATGTAACCTTTCAATTAATCTAGAAAGTCAGGATCACCATGACTGTAAGGTTTTAGATTTTGTCCTGTTCCAGTGAATGTTATGGTGGCATATTAATTAAGGTCATTTATGTTAGAAAGGGCTTGCAAATATTGAGTAATACTTAAAAGAAGTAGTTTCTAAAGACAAGCTGAAGAGAGATGCAATCAGCAGATAGGTCTTACCTGTCTTCTGAGTTCATCCTCTGCCTTTTATCACAAAGATAAGAAATTTCTGCCTGTTCTACTGCCACCAGCTGCCAATCCCCTGAGCTGCTAAAGGCTAACGTACCTGCTCCATGTTCCTTCTCACCAGCTAGATGTACAAAACACCGCCGGGAAAAGGATGCTTTAATGCTATAGAAACCAGCAAACCAGAAGTAAAGCAAGGCACAGCTGCTGCTTGGAGAAGCCCCAACCTGAACTCCAGGCTGGGCACTTGCCTTAGCCACAGGCTGCAGAGCAAAGCAGAAGCAACAAAAGTGAATTGCTCAAGGGAGAGCAAAAGTTTGAGCATGAAGCAAATGAAGCATGAAAAATGAAGCAGTGAACCAAACAATAATTCACCACTACAAGAAAATCCATTAAAGAAAAACAAAGCCATTTACAATAGTGCAGCTGAGGGAGGTAGAGATGAAAGCATGGAAAACAATCCCTCCTGAAAGCTATCTTGAAATTCTCAGACTGAGAAAGGAAAGTAGAAGGGGAATGGAGGGGAAAAAAAATGGATGGGGGAAGGAAAAATATCAAAATGCAAATTAGCAAGCTTTATTAGTGGCCTTATTCCAAAACATGTAAGGAAAAGACTAAACAACAGCAATTGCCTTCCTGGGCATGGTGCTGCTTCCCTGTGTGTGAGGACAGAATCTCAGATGACTGAAATGGGATACCAAAATATCACGGAAATGGTAAAGTGAATGATGGAAAAGGTTTGGGTGTTTCTTCCCCTCTAATAATATTCAAGATGCCGTATATTCATCATCACTGTGTAGTTCTGTGATGGGGTTCACTAAAAATAAAAATAATTGAGGTGTGCACTTGCTGTGGTAGTCTTACTAAGTAAATTTTGAACATGCTAATTCTGCCAAGTGGCTTACCCTGCAAAGAAGCTGCTGCTTACTGCATGGGAGCAGCACCAACAATGACATCTATGGGCACATCCAATTGTCCAGAACAATCTCCTGTTAAGTCCCATTACTGACAGATCAAGCCAATATACTCACATATGTGAAAATATTTGGAGCGATCCAGTCATGATTTTATGTACCATCAATCAGGGTAGAAAACCTAGGGAAGCGTACACAATGACACCAAGATCATGTATGTAACACATTCTGGGATATCATGTTGTACAGGAAAAAAAAAGGAGAAGGAAACAAATTGTCTATGATCCTTGGATATGTAGTATTGTTGGTCTAGAACACGAAATACATCCAGTATCTATTATGTAAAAGTATGAGATTGTTTCGAATGTCTGGAGGGCTATAGTTTATGCCTATTATGTTTATTGAATCTTTCTTGTTTCCAAATATATTTATTCATAATTTTAAACTTTGCTGTCTGACTAGGAGAGAGAATATTTTCTGAATGGCCTAAATGGTATCTAAAGCACAAACATGTGGATCCAGGAGCTGGGGCTTTTCCAGGTAGCATGACACTTGCAATAATGGGTGAGAGTCAACAAAACACAGGCTGCTGTATAGGGAACCTGGATATTTATCCCAACTGCAGAACAGTGCTGGAGGGGTAACAGCAGAGACTGCCATTGCTTGCAGCATTCTTTATCTAATAAGTTAAAGGCTATGATTTATATGCATTATGAGAGATTTAAAGGTGAAGAGTACAATTTGGGTTCATTTTCCTGAAGAACTAACAGTTTCTATGAATGCTAGCCTAAGATTAACACACGTAAAAGAAAAATCTGTATTTGGAGCCAGATACCAGTTTAAAAATAACTTAAAATTTTATTTGGAGGCAGGACTTCACCTTCTCCCTACTAACAGAAGCAAAATAACTTATCTAAAACAAATTCAAATTCAACTTAAGGAAACAGAACAAAGATTTGAAATACATGAAGCACTAAGATATTTTAACATATTTTTTAAAACAGAGAATTTAAATTCTGTCTTTGAAAATTATTTATTACTCAGACTCATACTTCTTTTTTTTTTCTTCCTTTTACATGCATGGTGCTTCTATTCAGGATGCTCCTTCTGCAAGACCTATCAGCCTCTTTCTCTGATACACTACCAGTATTCATCTTTAAATGTTAGAAAATACACTCAGTGTTGCTGGCCACAAGCAAATTCTGTAGCATATCTATGCAGAATGGGTATTTTTTAGGATTCATTGTCTCATTTGGCCCCAGATTCCTGACACAGTTTACTGAAGCATCCTTGGAGCAGAAAAGAGAAAAAAACTGCCATGGTGGATGACACACATGGCCCACCTAGCACAGCACCTTGTTTCCAACAGGCAAAAGCCCTGCTGCTTCCAAGGAAATGTCTGTGTACCATGTCTTCAGAGGAATCTGCAGGGAGCCTTTGACTAGCTGAATATGTCCTACCCTCATCCTAAAGCACAAAGTTGTCTTAAACTCTGATGGAAGAGACTTTGGCCCCTCATTCTTTTTGTATGTTAATCTAAATATTTTTTACAATCATAAAGGTATGAAAAAGCTGAGAAAAAAATATCAGAGCTGGTTCTGGAGGCCATCAAGCATGTGTCTCTTGCCAACATACCCTACAGGTGTCCCCAGTAAGCTCTCTGATCCTCCAGCAGTCCTGTGAAGAGTAAGGCTGCTTTGTCTTCTCTCTAATTACAGTAGAGGTAGAAAAAAAAGTATACTACCAGTGTCAGGAACACAGGGTTTAGAGCTGCTACTAATGACATTGCTTTTCTCTTAGACTGTAGAAAGTGAAAAATGAAGAAGGAGAAAATTTATCAAGGTTGGAAATAATATGTGCTGCCAGACAGGTTTCAGCCTCTTCAGCCCAGAGTGAGCAAAGTTGCTGGTTTCAAGCTCTACTGGTGCTCTCATAGGTTCATGTGTTCAAGTTGGACTCTGTCTTAAAAACTCAGCCTGTTAGAATACCTATATCGTGCTTTTTTACTAGTTCTTTTCATTGCTGTTTATTTTGTAGGGAAAAAGTAGTATATTCACCTTGCTTTGCTTCCAAAACTACTTGAAGATACAGGTCATGAAGGATGATAAAGAAAATGCACTGCATACTGCTTGCTCTTCCTTTCCATATCCTCTGTAATAGAAAAATGGTGCTGACACTCTAATAACTATATCTGGCTTTCATATAGTAAGATTTAGTTATGTCTTACAGCTAACAGTAATTTCTCGAATTTAGCTCCCCAGGTGAATACGAATAATTACATATAGTCAAGGTTTCAATCACTCTTACATTTGTGCACAGGGCTTCTCTCTTTATCTGTAGAGGTTCCTAGCTGGAGACACTTCCCAACCAGTAAATCTATGCATTTACACTAGATATAAGGTTTACTCCACACATTTAGATGCAAAAATTCATTTATGTGTATGATATTGATCACAGAGTAGTGTTTGGTTTTGCAACTGTATTAAGAAGACATAAGTCAGACTACTTGCTCTAAGGTGAAAATAAATTCACTTGGCTACAGGCCATCATATCTGCTTTATTATTGATTTATTTTAAGATGTAGCCCCTGGACTATTTAGGGACTAGTTTCAATATGTATTTCAATAGTATTTCATCAGTTGATTTTTATTGAACTGGCAGAATGATGTTATATTTTCTCATATGTCCTGAGATACAGCACATTAGGAATATCACCTTAGTTTCTAAAGCTAAAAGGGGTTGCACATTACATACCACAAAAAAAAAAAAAGGAACCCATGAGACTAATCATTTGTATGCAACCCATTGAAGTATTGAGAGTTTTGAATATGGCATTTATTTTTAGCAATTATGATGTATGAATTACAAGTCTGTACAGAACCCCCTGAGCTAAATTGTCTGGTCCCACAAAACCAACATCTGCTAGAACAGAAACTCCAGAACCTCCTGGAAAAAAGAACCCAAATTGAATCAGTTCAAGACCAATACAACAGAGCTTGCTCTGCCCTTCTCTGACAGGACAGGGTAAGAGGCATTTCTCATTGGGAAACTGAGCAAGTGAACACATTGTTCAGACACAGCACTGATCTGGCTAGTTCAGCATGCTGCTGAGGGGTCTGCCTGCAGTTGGCTGAGCAGGTGCATCCTCATGTGTGACTAGAGAGCACCACAATTAGCTTGGCTTTTGGCTAAATCTTTGCTTGATCAAGGATGCTAGGAGATTTGTATATCCTTATTACCACCTCTTAAATCCAGAGCTGGGCACAGAAGTACCCAGGCTGATGCCGGCTGTGTTGCATCAGCACCTCCAGTAAATGTAGTGTGAAGGAGGAGACTGACGGAAGGACAGCTCTTTTGGAGATCAGCAAAGCACAAGTGTCTCTGAGTTTGGGTGAGCTGCAGAACGGTGCTAGGGATCAATGAAGAATGAATGTAGGGTGCTTGGGCATTTCCTTTTTTTACCCATATAATCTTGCTTTATTTCTTTCCTGTTTGTTGGAAAGAAATGGTCACCTTAGATACAAGACCCTCCTATTCAGAACAATACAGACACAGGGGATTTCATCTGATGAGTGCAGAAAGGAAAAACACTAATCTTGGCAACACAACATCCAACTCATCCTTTTCTCATTGAAAAAGGAGATTCAACTCCAGTACATACTTCCCCAGAGTTCTATGTGTTGAGAAGGAAACTGCTTCCTCGTCCCCTCCTCCCAAGCCAGGGGCCTCTTTCATTTCAGTCCAGCAGATGATGCCTGCAGAGCTCTCCCATGGAGCACTGCTGTAGCAGAGAAAAGCTTTTTCCCTTTACACAGCTGCTTCCCTACTCTGTTCTATTAAATGACCACAAAGGTAAGGGGAAAGACACATTTAACTCTTGAATATACTCTCTAGTGGCATTCAGAGCTTGTTAGTGTGTTAATGCTTAAAAGTTGCTATGTTTTCTTAAATTGCCTTAAATATTTTAAAAGCCTTGAAAGGGATTTTCCTGCCTTTTTTAGATAGGTGTTTTCTTCCACAGAGTACCCAGGAGTCTGCAAGAAAGGTCCCTTTCTGTGTTCCCAGCAACAGTTTTTATATGACTTCCCTTTCAATGCAGCATATGCACAGTCTCAGCACTTAAAATCCAATCCTGCTATCAAATCCATTATTTCACATATTCAAAAGGGTTGAAAGAGACACAGGATTTTCTTCATAGTTGAGAGAAAATATATTTGTAAAGGTTGTCATATATTAGATGTAAAATCAATTAACCCAAGTTTTAAAAGAAAAACAAGCAAACAAACAAAAAAAAATCCAACCAAAACCCAAATTAAAGTGGGTTTTAATTAAAACAGCAATTCATATCTAGAATTACTTCCTTCACAATGAGGGACTAAGTAGCCCCAGAAACTTCATTCAAGATAGCTTGCCACTAGAGAGCAAATCAGAAGTATTAAAAGCAGGAGCTAAAAAAGGTCAGCTCATTCCTTAATAGAATAAAAATCAATGCCTTCAATTATTTAAAAAAAAGAAATGAGTTCTGTAGCATAAAAACTGATACAAAAGCCTGAATGCATACAAACACAGCCCTCTCAAAAAGCTTCTGAATTTATGGAAGATGATAGAACATGAGGTTTGATTTCTGTAGGTGAGTATGTAAAGGTGAATTTCCTTCTGTCATCTTGAGAAAGGCTGGGGGAAGAACACAGATTGTTCTCTCTTCAGTAAACTAAACACATGCAGGTTTGGCTCATTTCAGATGATTTCAATCTGTGCTGTAGCTGGTGTTATTTGTTGTGCCTGAAGAGGTATTTCACATTTTATAAACAACAGCCTGATTAAAAAACCTGAGTTCATCCCCGTATTAGGAACAAAGGCCCCCAGGTGCAGAGGTGAACCAGCTATTTCATTCTTTCCACAATGAGTGAGTGTTGTGGTCAGTCACCATGAATCTGAACTCACACTTGTCTTTCTAAGAGGACCCCAGAGCTGAAAGTTATCTGCACTTGGGTTTGCCGTTTGAAACAAAGCCAAAACTGAGGCAGCAGAATCTAATCTTTCAAACATGACCATAATCCACTCCTGTAGTTCAAAGGGTTTAAAATTAAAGTTCTCCATTTAGATCACCTTTACTAAAAAGTAATTTTCATTCTTCTCTGGAGTTCAATGCCCTTAATAATTCAATCTAGCTAACCACCCCACAAAAAAACACAGTCACACCTTTAATCCCTGCTGCTGCTTTTCTCAACAAAAACCCACTACCAGTAAATCCAATAGGTTCTTTACCCTGGATTTCTAGAGACATTTCATTATCTAGGTAGCCATCATTCCATCCTGGTACTTAAATTATCTTTTAGGAGCTGTAGTATGGCTTCGTCTGTCTGGTGCTGTTTTCAGCATAGGTGTGTTGATTTGCAAAGTGTGAAATTATTACCTGTAGTAACCTGTAGCACAGCAAACCTCCAGACCTCATGATCCACAAATCTATTCTAATCTATTCTGTTTACCTCAATATCCTTAAAGCTTCTCATTTTATCCTGGATGTGCATAAATAAAGTCTAAACAAAAGCTCTAAAGTCTAAACAAATTGATATTCTTTGCTTGCAGACTCCTCAGAGCTACCAGAGCACCACATCTAGAGTCTTCAAACTGAGCTGGAAAGCAGAGCTGGCAAGAAAAATTTTCAATCCTACTATTCATCAGAATTATCTAGTTCACCAAAATCAACCTGCATTATTTCAACCAACCTCCGACAGGCTTTGGAGAGCAGGCAGGCCAGAGAGATGGCACTTGACAGGCTTTTTCCAGAAATCTAGCTACACACAGCAGCCCGAGATCAGAGCCTAAAGTTTGGGAGCCTGTATTACCAGGGGCTTGGATGCCTTCATCAAGGATGTCATGGTGTCTGGGTCTCTGCATCCACAGCCATCTGCTATCCTAATCCTGAACCTGGGGGGCCTGGAGCCCTGATAGCTCTCTAATGAACCCCTCCTGCCTCCTGCTGGGTTGACAGGAGAAGGATGAGGTAGGCGAGGATGCCTTTTGTCCACCCATGATTCTGCTGTTGGGACACTGAAACGGCAGGTGTCACACGGACTGCAGTCAAAAGTTTCTGGGATGCTTGGCTCTATTCTACTCATACAGATGAAGTGCTTGAGATCCCAGGGAACACTTCATTTGGGGAACAACAGTTTCTTGTCTCTCCAAAAGAAAATATCTTGGGATTTTTAGTCTGAAAACAGTTTTGAATTTTCAGGTTTCATTCTGCTTCCAGGCAATAAAACTGCCTTCCAGTCACCTTCACTGGTGACTTTTCTGAAGTTCAGCCTTCAGCTCTGCTTGATATCATAATGCCATTAGTGTTAATGAGCTCTCCAGCAAGCATCTTATTGTTGCTCCCTTACCTACTTACTTCGGGGAGAATAAAGGACCGAAGATGCTGTGGCTATTAACTCAGAACCCTGCATTCAGTTACATTTTTACTTTAACTGTCTCTATTCACTGTAAATTCCCTTCACACTCTGTGGTGTCAAGAACACATTATCAGTTTTTCACTGATCTCAGTTTCTCAGGTGCCTATCACTGCGTGTGTTGTAAAATCAGCATCTGTGTATACATGTGGCAGGCTTAGCAGCTGCTTTTACAGGATAAGCTGTGGTGTATGCTCTGTATCTGAAATCCGATTAAGCCCCAAATACATCAAGCATTCCATTTTAAAGAAAGGCTATGATGCCATTTGCAGCAAACATATTTCTTTATTAACAGTTTCACAGCATGCTCCCCAGCTCCAAATTTTCTGGATCTAGGATTACAATTCATTAGCTCACTCCAAGATAAACACTCATTCATTTTGTATTATGCCTGCTATATATAATACTACACTGCTACAGAACACTGCTACTGCCTGCAGCTCTCCAGCTGTCAGGGAACAGGAGCCATCCTGGAAGGGCAGTCTGCCCTGGACCAGCCACCCTGTAGTCTTGCATTATTGTCAGATTTTGTGCAAGGCTCTTCCTAACTTTCAGATCTCTGGTCAGATCTGAAGATGAACAGTCAAACGGTAACGTTTGTCCTCTGGCAAAGATCCCACAGAAGTCAGAGGAGTGCCCCTCCACAAAGGCACTATCAATATTCATTGTCTCTGCTGGTGTTAGGGAGAATGGCTCCAAAGAAGAATTAGGCCCTCCAAACTCCTAACCTAAGTGGAAAACAAAAGGCAAGCTATCCATAAAACCAGCAGATGGTAAAAAGGAGGTAATAATGAGTGGTGTCACCGGCAGCTCAGCAGCCACACAGCATTATTGAGTGTTTGTTGTGGAGCACTTGGTGTGACAGTGAACCCCCCCCCAGCCCTTAAAAGGAGCTGTCAGCTCCCTGTAGGTTAGACTCTGTGGTTCCTACAGCTAAACCCTTACTACAACCCCTACAATATAGGGCTTGCAATATTTTCTTCTCTCCCACTTGACTCCCTGGCTACTTATAGATCAGCAACTGCTGTTCAAGGGATTCTGTAACCTCTGGCAGGATCCAACAGCGTGGGCCCATAAACCCACACCTGGCAAATGCAGAAGTCAAAGGTGCTGGGATTTGGGGGTAAGAGTGCAATAGTAATTTCAACCACACAGAAGAGCAGAAAAAAAAATCAATACATCTAAATGAGGAAAGCAAAATGTGAAGACAGAAGAATAATACCCCAGCCTCCACCCAGATATGACAAACACTGAAGTGCAGGACTGGTGTATAAAGTCCAAAAGAATTACTAGCTGGAGTTCTGTCAAAATTGTCCCCTTAGGCTTTTCCTGGGTCTTTCTCTCTACAGCTCTTAAAATGGCATCGACAAAGGAAGGTACAAAACATTTAGAGGCGTATTTTGTTGTCTACAATCTTCTTCTCAAGCTACACAGAAAAAATGAACTGTTATGTCTTAAAAGGATTTAGGCCATAAGATTTCAAGTCATTTGTTTTTTCTCTAATTCATACTGGATATTCAGTCTCTGACAATGCTGCAGGTGCAATTTTCACAGGTCCTCATCATTGACCTAATTCTTTTCTTGTTCAATTCATTGGAAAGATCAGTGAAAAAATTAAGAAGTTATGCAAACTGCTTGTATCAGTGACCAGTATGAGGCCTGGTAGGAAGGGTAAGGTCACCATGCCTCTGCTTCAGTCACTTTCTCTAACAGGTCTGAAACTTATCCTGACATGGTAGGCAGAGCTAAATCTGACCCTTTGGGGTATGGCTAAACCCGTGGTTCACAGCTGCCATGGTATAGGAAACTCTACTGCATTTTCTATGCATTTTAGAAAAATCAGGGAATTCAATCTGAGTGCTTCAGGAGGAAACAGGAATCCTGGAGACCAGTCACAAGTAATGTAAGTTGCAGCAGGCAGCAGGACTTCTGACAGAAGTGTGATTGAAGCTGCCTGACCCACCACTGGGTGAAATCGCTAGCATTCACTGCTGCTGCAGCTGGCAGCCCTTTGAGCTAAAGTGTCCAGTGGCTGAGTTAGGAGATATCACAGATTCTGCTGGACTTCCTCAGCCCATTTTGCTCCTTCAGGAAGCAAAAGAAGGAAGGGCCTGGTTTTATTTTGGTCTTGTCCCATGGTCCAAGTCATATCCAGATTCAGGAGCTTGGAAGCTATTCTGTCACCTCTGGTTTAGAAACAATTTAGTAGGCAAAAGCCACCAGCCCCAGGAGCGGCACCCTGCTTATGGATGTTATCAGCATGTGCCTATAGCACCATTCACAAGTCAATCACAAAACAGAATCATCATAGAACCATAGAATGGTTTGGGTTGGAAGGAACCTTTAAGATCATCTAGTTCCAGCCCCCCATGCCATGAGCAGGGACACCTTCCACTAGACCAAATTGCTCAAAGCCTAATCCAACCTGGCCTTGAACACTGCCAGGGATGGGGCATCCACAACTTCTCTGGGCAACCTATTCCAGTGTGTTATCATTGGTTCAAAGACAGACACCTGACCCAAACTGACCAAAAGTATTCCATACCACAGCACGTCATGCCCAGGATGTAACTGGGAGTTAGGCGGAAGGGCTGGGAGGCTGCGGGGTTGGAGGAGGTATCAGCCAAATTCTCTCCCTTGTTATTTCCTTTATCATTATTATCATTGGTGGTGCAGTCCTGGGGACACTGAAAGGGGTGTGAAATCCCAGAGAAAAAAAGCTGTGTATAGGTGAAATTGAATTACTATGGGAGAACACTGTATTTTTATTCAGGCCTATTTTCATCCCTTGCAGGTAGTTGTTCAATTTTCCTGGGCGGTTTTTGTTGGCGTGGAAGCTTAGAGTGGTGCCAGAATTTGGTAATGTACCCTTACTCTGGTTATATTGATCTTCCTGTGAGCATGGATACACACATGCATTGAAAAACAAAATTCCTCACTTCTGCACACAGACACCAAGCTATAGATGAAATACTGCTGGGGTTGAGATTGAATTTCCTGCTCAACAAAAATGAATGTCAAGGCTGGTCTGTTTGCAGAGCTCTACGCCAGAGGTACTAACATTGTTAAGCTTGTGGTAAGATATGAACACGCCCTACTTTTAGAGCAAGGCCCCCCAACCAAGGCTCTACTAGGAAGGAAATGACCTTAAAGGGTCTGGCTGTTCCCTTTGCAACAGGATGGGAATGTGAAATATACAACATAATTACCTGGAAACATACCATTTGGTTGAAAATCTTCTAAAACCACACATTAGATCCATGTTTTATCCATTTGTCTGTTTTCTGCTTTAATTTGCTTTCAGTCAGGGGTGAATACTCTAAACTTCAGGCATGTGGCCCATGCACACAGATAGGCTCCGCTTGTCTCCTGCTCTGTCCCTTTTTTGAGAGATTACCTGGGAGATTCAAGGTCTCCTTCTGTTTATGGTATGTAGAGGGTTAATCATCTACTCACAAAGGCTGTAGGAAGAAACCATTTATAAAAATCACTTATATGTGTGCCTAATCCTTTTTTCAGAGACCTATTTCCCTGCATAAATGCAGCACATCACCAATCAGAAAAAGCTAATTGAAAGAGGGAATTCTTTCATCTTGTATTTTCTAAAAAATGCCATTGCTGTTTATGATGCCTTCCTTACTCTTTAGCTTTCCAGGCCCGTCCTTTCAACATGAAGTCCCTTAAGAACTGCTGGGAAAAAAAAAAAATCTCTCCTTTAACCTGTCTTCCTAGGGCAGTGATGCTTCCAAGGACCTTCTATCTCTGTGTTCTTTGTCCTCCTAAATACTACCAAAACCCCTCACTAGTTTCAACCCAATTTAAAAAAAAGGGTAGAAGTCTCAACTACATTTCTGTTCTTACAAGCTTTGTGAAAGCCAGCAGCTGAATAAAGGCAAGGCAGACAAATTAGTGCCATCACTGAAGGAAAGGAAAAGTTGCAGCGCAAATGTGCAATACTATCTACTAAGAGCAGATTCAAGAGAGCCTTATGAGTGGGAAAAGCTTTGGGGAGAGCTGACACTCTACAGGAGATAATTTAACCGTGTAAGCCACTTGTTTGTACAGGCTTGGTTTAATATCAACTACAACAACTTGAAGACAATTGTGAGAAAAATTCTGGCTGCTTATGACTGATCCTGGTGCAAGGCTCTCCACTGATATTTTATGGAGGGAAATGGGAATAACCTAGGAAACCAAACTGATGCAAAACAGGAAGGAACCTTTGTTGCTCTGCACCCATCTTTCCAGCATATTGGACTAGCACTGTAGTCAGCAGTGGGATCTGTCCTCAGTGTATATTCAGTTCTATAGTCCTAAAGACAGACCAATTCCGTATAGTTTGGCCCCAGCAGAAAACTACAACACGTTATGCTGTTTGTCATAGCCCTAACCACTGTCCTGCTGCAGTGGCACAGTAGGGCTGTGCATACTCACCCATCTCTGTCCTGGGTGGTTTATGCCTTGACTGATTGGACAAGGTTACCAGGGGATCTCTCAAAGCTCTAGGTAGTGACATAAGGATCCACTGGCCATTCACCAAAGGGCCTTGTTTTAGCTGCTGTGATGGATAATATGACTTCATCTGCCCCTAATCCACCTCCTTATCTTTTCTTGAAGCATGGTGATTCAGCAGTGCCTTCCTGACCCAGATGAGATGAAGCAGAGCAAGTGATTTTGGATGTGCTGATAGCAGGAGGAAGAATAATCATCAGCATCATAGCTCAAGGACATCCGGATCCTAGTATGTGACTCAAATGCAGAAATCAGACAGACTTAAAGCCATACCTTTCTTAAAGTTCATTTGAGAACTTTGTCCTATTCTGTGGCTTTTGGCTGCTTTTTTTCCCTTTCTTTTAATG